AGCATTCCCTCATTCAGAAAAGTGTCTTTCCTGTCAATGCTATCTCACGCTAGTAACCTGAGCAGAATCTAGTTCTGAAACTATTCTTCCTCGCTTTTGTCTCTGACCCTTGCACCCATTCCTGCTGGAAATCTCATCTTCCTCAGCACCAGGCAGCCCTAACTTCCCAAACAGTCAGCCCACGGATTGAGTTTTCCATAGCCAGGACCTGTTCATTCCACTCCCGTTAGCTCCAAATCCTAATTAGAACCTCTGTCCCCAAGGCTTTGCATGGTGCTGCCATCTGGTGGGTGTAAATGACCACTGACAGACCTATCTGACAATTGACTTGTCAAGGCTGGTCCAGTCTTTAACACTCTGGTCAAGGGTATCCACTCAAAATTTGTAATGAATTGTTAGTTAAACTCGTTAATGACTATGGCTTTTTCCAACTCTAGCTCAAATATTCAACAAATGAAGGATTAGCGATGGTGTGATAGCATTGTGTCTGTGTATGTAAAAAATCTCACTATTTTACCCAAATCACATCAAAAGATTAGCTGCCTACTTAACATAAGATGGATGAAAGCCAAACACTGTACTAGGCAGATTCTATCAGAGACTTCAGTCCAAGTTCAAATACTAAGAACATGTTTCTAGAACTATTTTGTTTTAGAGTCTGTGCTAGATCTGCTTATACTGCCATTCTTGGAGTAACTCTTTGCAATAATATCCCCCACCCCCAGGCAGCAAATTTATTTAAAACAAAGATGAAGGAGCATTTAGAAGTTGGAAGACCTAACTTGACACTCTTTTAAGCAGTTTTCCAGCACCAGGAAAGAGGTTCCTATTGAAATTATAAAACTAAAGTTATGTCTGTGGTAAACTGGACTAGACCTAGGGCAAATGGCATTCAGACAAAGCCTGAGGACTCAGTAAATACTTGTTGGATTGAATGCAATTGAACCAGGGACCCAAACCCCAGATCTCTACCTAGAGTATCAAGGGAGACTTCTCAGGGGTTATCTGCTTTCTGGTCTTGTGGTTGCAGTAATAGTGGGCACAATCTTTGTGACCCCTCCCAGCTACTTCCACTTAAATCCATTACCTTGAGGGTCTGGGAGTACCTTAAGGAGAACCAGTGACATAGTGCAGTATATGTTGTGCTGCTAATTGGAAGGTCAGCAGTTCAAATCCACCAGTTGCTCCTCAGAAGAAGTTTCTTTCTTTGAAGATTTACAATCTTGGAAACCCCAAGGGGAGTTCTACTCTGTCCTGTTGGGTTGCTGTGGGTCTGAGTTGATTTGACAGCAGTGAATTTGTTTGGGTTTGGGGTTGGGGAATCATGAAATTTGGTCCCTGAAACCATTCTCCATTTGAAATATCCTCTTGGACTAGGAGGGTTGCTATGAGGCAGAATTGACTTGACAGCAGTGCCATTGAGTTGTCTGTGATGTATAGCGACTCTATGTACAGCAGCTCTGAACTCTTCCCTGTCCTAAGCCAGTCTCACCAACTCCAACACACCAAACCCCGCCAAGTCCAACCAAACTCAATTCTGTTAAATCAGTTCAGACTCATGGTTGCCATATAGGATAGAGAACAACTGCACCATAAGATTTTCAAGGCTATAAATATTTATGAAAATCTTAACATACTATGACAGATCTGGAAGCAGGAGTGGCATCCACTTCCTAAATAGCATGCCTCCAGAAACTCTATGAACTTTGGTAAATGTCGATAGTTGTAGAGGGGCTTCAGGCCTTTTGTTCATAGGGTCACTATGAGTCGTGCTCTACTGGAAGGCAATCAACAACAAAAACAACAACAAAAACATTCTGAGACTGGTTCTTAAAGCTATTCCTCCATTTTGAACATCCTATAAACCTTTGCAAGGATGACAGAAATTGTGTTCTTTTATTTATTTATGTTTAATTAACTATATAGCTCCCTGCACTGTTGACGGTGAAGACAGATAGGAATAGAAAGTCAATGTGCCAGAACCCAGCTCACTAAAATGAGCCCCTATAGTTCCAGTTCCTGTTAGTTTCCATTAGAATAACGAGAACTTGTTCTGGTTCATTTAAGGCCAACTGACCAGAATTCATGGAGCTGAACTCTAGCCTGCAAGGAGACGCATTCATCCTGGAAGGGAATCTCACCTGATCCCATGAGTATCATTATATTAATTAAAGCCCATTTGTGAGCATTTTATAATTTAATGTTTAAGACTAGTTCTTCTACAAGGTGTTATTTACATATGACATTTGGAGAAATTCAGTCTGTAACTTATCCAAGGTCACCTAAGAGGTATGCGGCAGACCTGGGATTAGAATTCTACTGTCTGAATATTCTTTAAATTTGTTAACATGACTCTGTGAGCTTTAATTTGTCCAAAGTAATGAATTATTTTAGAAGGCTAACTGATGTAAAGGGACGCTCAGGTGGCTTAGTGGTAAGGAGTTGCTCTGACAGAACAAAGGCACTTGGTTCAAATCCACCAGCGGCTCCAACGCTGAAAGATGGACACTCTCCTTCCATGCAATTTATAGCCTCTGAAAACCTGCTGGAGGGTCAGCTATTTGTCAGTTCCAGCTTGACAGTACATTATACCAACAGCAACAAAACAACAACAATAAATAGGAGAGTTCTGTAGGCAGTTGGCTGGCTGACCCAAAGGCTGTGCCTTTCTGAATGTTTCAGTCCACCAGCAGTTCCACAGAAGAAAGGTGAATAAACTCCTCACATGTGATTTACAACTTCAGAACCTCACCAAAGGGTCACCTAGGAGTCAATTCTGACTCAAAAGCAATGAGTGGAATTGAGTTGCTGAATGGAACTGCATAATCCATTTTTTTCTCCTTGAACCTTATTTTCAAATCTGAGCCTTTTTTCCTTTTATCACGAAACAATGTGAAAAATGAGTTTAGCCTCCTTATCCCTTTACCCTTTGGTTGTTTACAAAGACCCTGGGAAGAGCTGACCTCTCTGGGGTTCTTCTGGGGAATAAAGTGGAGCAGAAGGAAAGATGAGACTTTTGCCATTAGTGTTGTAGTCAAGGTCATTATTATCCATCCAGAAGGAAGTCCAAACCTTTTGTTCTGAGCTAAATCATACTTCCGGGGAGAATAAAGCGACAGACAAGTGCTATTCCGTCATGGAGGTAGTAAGTAACACACACACACACACACACACACACACACACACACACACACACACAGAGTCACCCTCCAATACGTACACACTATCCTCTTCTCTTCTCCCATATTTATCCTTTTCCCATAAATAAAGGGAAACCATCTAGTTAGTTACTGTTTTTATGGCATCTTTGGGGAGAGGCAGGCCATAAGTAAAACACTGGTTGAAAGACCCCTTGGCTGATGGTTATAAATGCCCCCTTTTGGTTCTGTGCACATCCTGGTTTGTTGACCAGGTTTTTGTATCCAGCCGACATCACTGGAGGGAGCCACTTCAAATACCACCATGGCTGGCACGCAGCAGAATGGACACAAAGCAGGCTCTTAAAATCGAAGAAATGCACCCTGGAGGTGGAGAATAGAGAAGAGGAGGAGAAACCACATTTTAAAAAGCTTTTGTTTAAAGGCATTCTGTTCAGGGGCTGAGAAGTGGGTGCTTCTCACAGGAGGAGGTAATATGAATAAGCATTTGCTCTAATAACAAAATAGTGTTACCACAGGAGTCCAGCAATGATGCTGGACTGTCAATTACAGTTCTTTCCTGCTGCCCTCCCTACTATCACAAATAGCAGGTAGAGGGGTTTTATCTTGCACAGAGAGCTCAGCACTTTTACCGCTTGGTTACCCTAGGCACAGGGTGAGCTTGGTTCCATTAGAGTAAAATGGCAGTTGCAAAACAGAACCGTGCTTTGCACAGACTTCAACATCTACATAAGGACAAAAAACTTTGTGGTTTTGGTGGTAGTGGTTTAGAGATTGCTAATAATTCGCCAGGTTGTCTTTTAGGAAATTGTCAGAAGGGCTGGCTCCTTTCCTTCCTTGCTAGTTCTAGAGCAGTTCAGAAGTCAAAAGAGAGGTTGGGTAGTAGGATGGAGACTGAAGTAAGGCCAAGGAAAGAGTAAATGCCTTCAGGATATAAAGGCTCGGGCAGGCAGCCCACAGGCCCCCGCTGTGCCTGCTACTCTGAAGTGAGATGACCATAAGAAAAACTTGAAGCCTAAACTGGTGGGATCTGTTCAAGGTGTACGGTATCCAAGGGAGATGAGGGTAACTGAACCACTGGACTTCTTAAAGGCTGGCAGGTTCCGGCCCCAAAGCGAGAGATGGAATCTTCCTAGTTCATTTGATTTTCTAAGGACTGGGACTGGCGGCTGGTCTTTCTCGGGTGCCTTCGCTCTAGGGCAGCAGGCGCCCGTGGAGGCTCTGGCGCATCCCTGGGGGAACAGGAGCCTGGAGCGGCCAGCAGGTGGGGCCTGGAAGCTGGACTCCACCCCCTGCGCCCTCCCCGTTGGTCCGCGGCGGCCTGGCACCGGCCCCTCTCCAGAGCCGGAGTGCGATTGGCGGTGGCGCTTGTCGCTCGGAGGGGGCCGGGCCGCTCGGCTCCGCTGCTCGCCCCGCCGCTGCCGCCGCCGCCGCCGTCCTTCCAGCAGCGCGGGCTGGTCGGACCGCCAAGGCAACCGGCGCTGGGCCATGGGAAGCAGCGCGACCGCGGACCCAGGCAGTGACAAAGTTTCCCAGACACGCGTTTCGGGCTGTGAGACTGCTGGCCACTCGTGAGCTCTCTGGAAAGGGCTTGACGATTTTTAATTTGGAAACAAAAATCACCTCATTTCTTTTGTCAAGCTCCCGGGTGGGCAGAGGCGAGAGCTGCAAACTTGGGAACGACAGCCCCACTGCTGGCGTCGGGGCTGTGGAAAACACCGGGACTCAGGTGCTCAGGTGCCCAGCGACCCGGAGTGTACTAGGGGGTGTGTGAGCGCCGCGGAGTCCAGGGCGCACAGCGAGGAGGGCCCCGAGAGCTCTATATGGAGAAGGGAGCCCAGAATGGTTTGCACCAGGAAGACCAAAACTTTAGTGTCCACTTGCGTGATCTTGAGCGGCATGACCAACATTATCTGCCTGCTCTATGTGGGTTGGGTCACCAACTACATCGCCAGTGTGTACGTGAGGGGGCAGGAGCCGGCGCCTGAAAAGAAGCTGGAGGAAGACAAAGGGGACACCCTGAAGATCATTGAGCGACTGGACCACCTGGAGAATGTTATCAAGCAGCACATCCAAGGTATGGGCACCCCTGGAAACTTGGGCCGTTTCCACGAGGTCCTGGAGTGCGCTGCTTGGGGCTGGGCGCGCCAGGGCGGATGCGCCTCAGTGGAGGGAGCCGCGGGGCTCTGAGGCGGGGTATGGAGTCAAGGGTCTGTCTGCCCATCAGCATTTACCTGCCGCGGGGATCTTCCGGGGCTGCGGCCGTGCGCGCGTCTCCAAGCACACGTGTGTGCGCGGGCTGCACGCGCGGGTGTGTGCAGTTCCCTGGCGGTGTGGGGGCGCGCTGCGCACGTGTCCAAATGTGCGTGTGACTCCAAACTGGTTGTTCGTGGGCTCACAGGGTCGCACACAAGTCCCATTTGGAGTGTGTAATGAATGAATGCTTGTGTCCATGATAGCGCTCGGGCAATGGGACTCTTTTGGTCGCACTAAGGGCCCAGGGCGAGCTGTTGACGTTTTGAACTACCAGGCTGCGGGACAAGCTGGCACTAGGAAGGTTGCATCGCTCCAACCCTATCCCCAGTCCCGCGGTGCGCTGTTCTGCAGGGGGTTAGAATTGCTAAAGGAAATCCGGTAGGCTTTGGAGCTAGGGGATGGCTGGAGCCCACAGCGATTCATCACCCTCACCCAGGCCCCGTAGATGTAGGACCTCTGGGTTTCCCTTTAGAGAGCAGGTGTCAGGCCACGAAACAGCGCTGGAGTCTTGAGGCTTAGCTGACTGCGGTGGCGCCTCAGTCCAGAACCGAAGGAACCCGCCCAGGGCCGCGCCTTCCTCGCCGGGGCCCCAAGCCTGTGTGAAGGCGGTTCCCGCTTGTAGCTGTGCTCGCAGGCCCAGGGAGCGGCTTGGGGAGAGCGGAAAGACCTCCCAGGATGACCCTGTTGTAAGGCTGCTTCCCCTGGTTGTGCCCAGGCTAAAACCTAAAGGAAGCTGGGGTGTGGGGCGCTATTTCTAGGAGACCTAAACCGGTGAGCTGTCAGAGGCAGAGGATGGGGGGCTCCAAGCGCCCACTGTTACCGGATGTACACACACTCCTGTGTTTATCACGTTCACGTATTTCTTCGCCTCCCTGTGTCCTCAGCTTTCTAACAGGCATGTGAGGTGGACTTCTAAGGCAAAGCTTGTTAGAGCCTAGTACGCCTGTGAACCTGGCATGCCTACCAGGCTTTGGGCCCTGCAGACAAGACAGGCAAACCTTTGCCAATATTGAATTGGATCAAAGTCTGTCAGCCCCAAGTGTACTCTGTTTACACATGGTTGTCTGGGTGCCCACCTTTGCACCTGCTGCCCCTGCTAGGGCAGGGACGTTGCTCTGAGCTCACTTGGTGTGTGATTCCCATGTGTTATAATAATGCTTTCCCCCAGGAAGGTTTAATTGAGCAAAGGAAGGATCATCATATCCATGTGTTACCTGGATAATGACTTAAAAACAAGCCCCTAGCTCTGACATTCTACCAGAAAAAGTGAGCCATGGCAGCCTCTCCTTCATACCTGCCTCTGCTGTCTGACTTGTCAGCTGGGTTTGCCAGGCCCGAATTTGTCTAGCTGATGGGTGCCTGTTGCCGCTATTTCTTACTTGTCCTTTTCCATCGTGTGGATGTGGACTGACAGTTAATCAGCAGTAGAAGTACAGTGTCTGCCCCAGGGGGATGCAGACTGTTCCCAGGGAGACACAAGGCCATGCCTTACTTTGACATTTCTAGTTTGCCCACAGATTTGGAGAGGTTTTCATTCGCTCAGTTTTTATGTGTGCACACTCCTGGAAAATCACTCTGTTGTGCCTTTCTGCCTGGGCAGGGAGGAGGCAAGCACGGTTCTGTTTGGGGATGGGATATTAACCCATGAGCTCTTCACAGTGCTCCCCTGCCTGAATGGACCATATCACAGTATTTTTGTTTGTTTATTTTTTAATTGGTTTGCTTAAAAATCTTCTATAAATGGTGTTTCACACTACTCTTCATTCACATTGTGTTTCACACAATCATTCTCATGCATTATGCTTTATAAAATTAATCACCATTGGACCTTGCCCATCAATTACTGTCTTTTCACCCAGATCCTTCCCATTTACTTTCACCCGCCTCCACCCACCAAACTGTACAACCCTGATTTCACCCCTACCTATCCTCACCCTTCTGCTCCCTGAACCTTGAATTCCCATACATACTTTACTAGTTATCCTTCTATTTGTACAGTGAGTGAGGACAATATTGAACTTTAAAAAGCTTTTGTGATTTTTTTTCCTTCCCTGGAAACCCTATAACTAAATCATCATTTGAAAATTTATATATATATATATATATATATACACATATATACATAAATACATATATACATACATACATATTGTGTTAAATGGCTGAAAAGGAGCAAGATCCTAAAACTATGTGTTGGTCCAGTTCTTTTGCATGTGTCAAATATTTGTATGATAACCCCTTAGAGAAAGGTCGAACGCATAACTTACAGGTGTATGGGGAAGGGCCAGGATAATGACTTGGAGAAAACTAGAAATGAACTACACAGAGGGCAGAGGTCTGTTGGTTGTATCATAAGAGTATAGCAATACTGATGACAGTTATTCCAGAAAATGTGATAGCTATCCCTAACCTAGGATTTGGAGAGTACCACATTAAGAGGCCTACAAAGTTCAAGACTGGTCAAATGCAGTTCTGGTGACATAGTATATTACCTAGTGTGCTATTAATTTAAAGGTCAGTGGTTCAAAACTGCAAACTTCTCTGAGGGAGGAAAAAAAAAAGGTCAGCCTCATCCTGTAAAGAGTTACAACCTCAGAAGCCTAGTGGAAGGTTGTGATGAGCTGAAATAGACTTGATGACAGTGGTTTTGGAAAGTGGAGGGTAAGAAAGAACAGTGTACTCAGATCCTTGCCCTTGCTGTCATGGGCTGTTTGTATTCTTTCCCATGGTGACCCATGGAAATCCTGTGTGTCAGAGTAGAACTGGGATTTTCTCCTTGGAGTTTTTAATAGTTGAGTTTTAAGAAGCAGTTGCATCTTTCTTCCAGGGTGCCTTTGGGTGGCTTTAACTGTGACCCTTTCAGTTAGCAGCCAAACGTGTTACAATCATTTGTATCATCCAGTACCTACTTGAAAACAATTGGCTTATAGGTATTTTAACTTTCAAATCCCCTTAGTTAATAGAGCCTTTTGAATAATCTATTTACTCTGCTGAGCTGAAGGTAATAAGGGATAATAAAAAGAAGGGAAAATGATCTAACATCTAGTATGTACCAAGCACTATCCTAAGTGCTTTACATATATGACTTATTTCATCTTCACCATCCTAGGAAGTAGATAACCTTAGTGACATTTTACAGATGTAGAAACTGAGGCATTTAGGGGTCATATGATTTGCTCTTGGTCATTCAAGTCGCAAAGAATTTAAACCCAGGCAATCTGGCTTTCGAATCTGTATATGGAACTGGATACCACAGTGTCTCACAAGAAAGCCAGAGAGTGAAGCATGTGTCTCTGTGGGCAGTTGTCAATGGTGGAAGTTGGTCAGAGTGAGCCAGCCATCTCCAAAGATGACTGAGAAGTGATGAGTCTGTATCTTTCTTGCTTAGAAACTCCTTCCATATATAATGAAGTCAGGAAACTGTAGGTTTTGTTTTGCTTCACACTGAAAAACAGAGAATAAATTCAAGCAACCAATGTTCATTGAAGACCCAGGACAGTTCTTGGCACAGTCTACACTGAGTGGGTGTTGGATGGACAAGGGAGTGAGTGGATGAGTACTAAGTGCTGATGCCCAGAGCACCTATTATTTGTCATTCATGAAATTGTTCCCGTTCACAAAAGAATAAGTTTTGCTTCAGTCTTGCTCAGGCTTCTCTTTTCTTGGGAAGAAAAAGTTGTCATGGAAGCTGCAAATGTCACAAAATGTTCTGTGGGATATTCAGTAGGACTTGCAATTAGAGTAGGCTTTGGAACCTCACCCCAGAGATCTATTCTAGTCATAACGGAAAGTTTAGTTTCCCCTTGGGGGTTGCAGTGATATTTCATTTTAATTTGTTTTCTGATTGAATGATTTAATTAGATGGTATTTGAGAATCTCTAGGGAAAGTAAATTTTAAGTTTTGAGAACTTTTTTAAAGCAAATAGATAGTAACTGAGGGGTGAGTGCACTATTTAAATGGTTTGGAGACACAAGGGAAGAGTCAGTCCAGATTGTATTTTAGAAAAAGAATAGATTGCTTAGAGTGAAGAGTGTGTTAAAGCAGTTGGGGATCTTAGAATGTGGAAATATGAATTCACTCTTTATTTTAGAAATCCAGTTTAAAAAAAGTTTTCTTCTTTTTTTTGGTATCTATTTGAATTTGTTAAGGAATGTTTAAATATTAAAGATTTGAAAATGTGTAAGACTACCCACAACTCATTTTATCCCAGCATAACATTCTCTTCTTGCTTTGTTTATTTACCTGCATTTTCAGAAACAGTTGTAATTATGATTTACATGTAATTTTATAGTCTGTCTTGGTGAGTTTTTTTTGTTTTTTACTTTGCATTTTGCTAGAAGTGTTTTCTTTTCAAGCTCACATATGGTTTATTGAGCCAACACTTTTACTGGAGACCTAATTCAAATGAGGGAGCTTTGGAGTCTTAATGGTAAAGAGTTGCACTGCCAACCCAAAAGCTTGTGGTTCAAATCCACCAGCTGCTCTGTGGGAGAAAGATGGGCATTCTTCTCTTGTGTGATGAACTGCCTGTGGAGGGTCAGCTGTGAGTAGATTTTTACTTAAGAGCATATAGAAACCACAGTGGTAATATGCCACTCTGGTGGTATTGCTCGTAGTGTGTTGTACTGCTGAGAGGCCATGAGAGTCTGGTGCTGGGAATAAAGATGGGCCATTTCCTCCCATCAAGTTTTATAGAGTTGGAAACCTGAGGGAAGGTGATTGTGATGAGGAACTGACTCAAATACAGGGAAGTGGTGTCGGAGATGGTGAGATTGACACAGGATAGGGCAGAGTTTAGGGCTGTTGTACATAGGATCGCT